ATAAGCAGATGAACAATAATAACAACTTTTTTTTTCAATTTTTTAAAAAATTTCTACAAATTTTAAAACTTTTTATAAGTTTAGAAAAAATTTTTGTTTTTTTTACTGGTTTCACAAAACGAATCTCAATAAATCGATAAATCTAATAAAATATTTAACAGAATGTTTGTTTAACATTTATCATATTTCAATGTACAATGCATGATACATTAGTTGAAACATATGCTGTAACTTAATTTTTATTATTAAAACTTAAAATCTTAAAAATTAAAAACACATGGCTTTTTCTTCTTTCTGCCATGTAAAAAAAAAGTTTATACAATTTTCACGAGTGTCAAAATTTGAGCGGCTTGTTTTAAATAAATTTTGTACTTCAGCCGCATCGTATAGTATGCTAAAAAAATAAAATAAAATGAGATTAATATGATTAAGGAATATTGATGTATTGCATTAAATTATTAATTAGCATTAAAAAGAAAATTTATTTAACTGTATAATAAAACATTTGGGATAATAATTTATTTGGTCTGCAAAATAAACAAATAAAATCTTACAAACTATAATTGTATTTTTTTCTAATATTTTATAATCCTATAATACAAGCATTTATAAATAAAAAAAATTAATTAATTAATCCAAACAATTCTGATTTATCAATCACATGTGATGTAATTGTAACATAAGTCATTTGCACTTTTGGATAATTGAAATTATCACTTAAATAAAATTATAGGAAACTGATAAAAAAAAAAATGAACATCAGCACTTACATGCTGTCATTGTATTATTGTAATTACTTTATTTCTTTCTTTATGTAGTAGATAAGATTTCGAAAAAGTAATTATGGTAAATATTTGATGAATCATTTCTTCACATTTCATTATTTATTGATTTGCAGCAAAAAAAAAAAAAATTTTCATTTTTTTTAATAGTAAATAATAAAATGACCTTTTTAAAATTCTATTCAAAAGAATGTCAGGATTTTCAGCATTCCGCAATCCTTGTATATGTATAATTGCAAATTTCCGTTTTTGCTCCCAAACTTCTTTTGCAACTTCAGCACACCATTCTTGCAATAAATAATCCTAAAAATAAAAATTAATTTAAAAATTTTTATAGTAAAATTTAAAATTACTGCAAAAATTTGATTTGACAATTACATTTTTTTCGTTTTTTTTCGTTTTTTTTTTTTTTTTTAAATTAACTTTTAACTGCAAAATATTGGTTCAATAATTATTCATGAAATTTCATACATTTAATATGAATGAAAATTATTAATAATTGATTTTTGCAAATGATTTGCAAAAAATTTCTGTGAGTCAAATGATCTAAGTAATTTTTAAATGATTACAAACAATATTATAATTATAGAAGTTAAAAAAAAAAAGAAACAACAATATTCAGCACATTATTTAGTAAAGTTTATAATATTTGTAATTATTTGTAATATGAAATTTGCTACGTCAATAAAATGTTATTATTACTCTGAAATTTAATTTTTAAGAAATACAAATGAAATAAATTTCATAATAATATGGACAATAAAAGGGAAAGAAAGTTTAAATTCAATGCATGTTTCAATATTCAATAAAATAGAAATTTTTAAACTTCTGATATTATATCAAAGCTTTTACAAGAAATATATTTTACTTTTGGCAATATTAATTATGATAAAAATCTAAAGTATGTTTATATGTATTTATTAATCATTATTAGACATAAATTAATATTAATTCAACTGATAATTTATTCGGTCTAAATGAATTTTATTTTTTTATTTTTCCAACTTCAATTGATTAATGATAACAAACAGAAAAAAGAAGACGAAAAGGAAAAGGATGAAAGTAATTATTAATCACTGATTTTTTTTTCGTTTTTTTTATTATATATTCCTATAAAGAAAAGAAAAAATAAAAAAGATGGAAGAAGAATTATATATTCCTGTAAAAAGGAAAAAAAATAAAAATTGAATCGAAATAAAATTAGATTACTGTGTATTAAATATTCAATATTTGCTATTATACTCAAATAAACAAATATTAATTTTACATTAGAAAAAGAAACTAAAAATAAAAATTATATCAATTAAAACAAAAAGAAAAGAAAGAAAAATAAAAGGAAAAAATGAAATAATTTTATCAGCATTACCATTGAAATTAATGCGATAATTAATACAATTAAAATTAACATTTTTTTTAATAGAATTTCGATCGGTCAAGGTTAATGAATTAATTACAACAAAGCTAATGCAAAGGAAAAATTTTTGTTCATTGGTTAAATTTAATGTCATCAAATGATAAATGACAAAAAAATGCTGTCTATAACAAATTCAACGAATTAATTCGCATTATTCCAAAAATGGAAACGAGTTTTTAAGACGAATAAAATATTATATAATTGAAATGTCAAAAATATCTTAAAGTAAGCATCAAAAAGAAATTGGTACAATTTTTGCTTTTTTTATAGTTTTTTTTTCATCTTTCTTTTTTTGATTATTTTTGTTTTATTTTATTCTGTTTATTTAGTTTAATATTCAAATTTCTTATCTTATATGTGTTTGTTTTTGTTGCCTTTTCCTTTTTTTTTCCGCAAAAAATTTTCCATCAATTACAATTTTAATTTCAACTTAAAGTCATGAAATGTAAAAAAAAAATGATTTTTCATTTCTTTTATTGATGAAAGAATAAAGTAAATGATTGGTTTGTTTATCTGATGGTTGCAATATGGAAGAAAAAAAAAGGAAAATGAATCATTGAAAATGTTGTTAATTTTTTTCCTTTTTTTTGGATATTATTGGAAGAAAGAGAGAGAGGGAGAGAACGAAGGATAAAGAAAAGGTGAAAGAGAGAAACGAGAAATTTTTGTGGTTTTATTTTTTATTTCTTTTTTTTTTTGTCATTGAATTTTAATGGAATTAAACGAATCTTCTTGCTTTTCTTTTTCTTCTTTAGAAAATAAAGATTCACTTTTTCTTTTTCATCATTTATATTTTTCAGCTTTTGTTATACTCTTTACTCTTACATATGTATACATGCACACATGTAAATTTATACATTTTACTTATACGTTAAACATATATGAATGAAAATTGAAATATGATTTATTATTATAAATAGAAATAAAATTCTAGTTGTTAAATCATATTTTAATTGATATAATAAAAAGTGATAATGCAATGTTTACTAATCACTGTTAGTATAATATAGATTACAATTCCATTCTTTCCTTTTCTTTCGCTCACCAATACAAACTTATTTTGAGTATTTTCAACATTATTCAATTAATTTGACATTAATTAGAAAGCAAAAAAAAAAAAACTTGAAGATGATAAGAAAAATTTTAGGAAAAATTTGAAACAAACAAAAATAATTTGACGCAAACAAAAAAAAAATTCTATTTCATAAACATGTAACCATTAATGTGAATTATTCATTCCATTAGCAAAATGACAATTAATTCACATGATGACAAAAAAAGTTCATAATTATCATTTATTCGAAATCTCAGGCAAACAGTGCCAGAGATTTTACACTTTGTATTGTTTAAAATGAACTTCAAATATTTTGTCTTATTTTGCTTAATTATTAAAAAAGAAATGATTGTAGAAATTCTTCTGAAAAAAAGAAAGAAAATCATATAGAAGAAAAATCTTTTTTATATAAATGAAATTTAGTTAAAAATGATTTATAATAAAATTTTTTGTTAATAAAAATTTATCAATTTTCCTTTTTGTACCAATACCATAACAAATTGATCCATTAATTGATTAAAATAAATTTAATCGTTAACAATTTTTTATTTTGCGTTTACTTTTTTTCTATAAAGGTTGTTAAATGACATTTTGAAATATCCCATTTATACTTTTTTGTGCACTTTAACATTTTCCAAAAAAAAAAAAAATCATTCTGAAGTGTTATATTTTTATTGTTGATAAAGAATGTAAATGTTTATTTGGATTTGACAACCGTGCTGAATCAACTAAAGCCAATATTTTACTACTTATACAAATATATTTTTATTTATTATTTATTTAAATGAATAAATGATATGAATTAGTACCTTAAATTTGGTTTATTAAAACATTTATTTATTTATCTATTCATTCATTTGGGGATAGTTCTTGTAAATTTTGTTTATTTTTTCATGTTATTTGACAAATGGGGATAGTTCTTGTAAAATTCAAATAATAATTTTTTAAATAATATTTGAATTCAGTTTACATTTAATCCATAGTAATATATCATATCATTATAAATTTGATACGATTTCATTGAGTTAATGTATTAAATTTGAAGTATTTCACTAAATTAACTTATTTTCTTTATCTTAATAATACTTACTTTTTCTCTATCAAATACTTTATGATTATTTGTTTAATTTTGCTTTTTTCTTCTTTTAAAGAAGACATCAAAAAAAAAAAAAAAAAAAAAGAAAAGAAAAAATTAACTAAATTTGTTTACTGTCTATTGGTATTTTTCAGTTTCTTTTTCGAGTAGAACAAAAATGCTAATTAGTAAAACACTCATTTGAATTTATTTTCGAGTTTTTATCATAGTTTACGTCATTTCTATCCTTCTTCGAAGATTCTGTTCCTGGTCTCTGATTCTCGATATTGACGGATGATGATAATCTATCAGCTATTACTTCTAACGGAACGTTATCAGTGACTATAGCCATCGGCGTTTTTTTTTTCAGTATTATCCTGCATATAATCTACGGCTCTAGTACCTAACAAATTTTTCATGTTTGAATCATTGTGCCTTCCCACAATTCATTTATTCTTCTCTTATGTACAGAGTGCAAGAAATTATTGTTAAATTGTTAACAGTTTGCGACGTGGTCCTACTTTCTTTCCTACAGTGACATCTATTATTTGCTTACTTGCTAAATTTTTAATACTACAATAACTTGTCACCAAGGTTGCTATCAGTTGCCTGTTGTACTACTGGATGTGAAAGGAAGTATCAACAAACACCATCGAAAGCGATACGGCTAGAAAGATGCCAGTGAATGAAACAGCTGTGATACCAACATCATTTATAGGCCGTATTAGTGCCTGTACAAGCCTTATTTCAGCCAGAGATTATAAAACAATAGTGCAACTATTGGACAATAACGAAACGATTTGTCAAGAATTCAAGGTCTGTCATCGTTTCTGAAATATTTTAGTGGTAGTGCTTGAATGAGTTCAAATTAACAACAAGTCTGTTTTGATTTTGTGGTGCTTTAAATAATCACAAAAAAAAAATTCATTCGAAAACGACATTATGTTGTTAGTAAATTTCAATTTCTAAGATAAGCATGACATTTCAGTGATATCACAGCAGAAGTGTAGAAATTTTGAAGCAGTCATGGTGATTTTTAGTTTTGTAAATATGGAATAGTCCCATTTTAAGATATCATATTGTCTACAAAGTAAATTGAAAACTTAGTATGAAAATAACTGTGAATAAATTTGTAAGAGAAGAAGTGGCTTGTATTAATTTAGATGATGTAGAGCAAACTGTTTTAAATTGAAATATGCAAATTACTAAGCTGCTTTGCTGATTTTTGATCTGTGAAGCTTCCTTTAAATTTAGTAATTTAAGTTAGACAGTAATGTCAGATCAGTTTGCTAAATTATCACGATGGTAATGTATGAACTCATAATAGAAAAATATAAAATCTTTTATTTCAGAAAACATCGAACGCCCAAGTTTTTGCATTTTTTTTTCTTTTTTTGTTGATGGAATTTAATATTATACCAAAAATAAGAAACTAACAAATATTGACTAATTGTCGAATATGACAATGTATATTAAGCTAATGCTGTTTATTTCTCCCTTTTTCTAATAATTTATTAAATTGAAAAAAAAAATTTATTATTAAAAAAAAGAAATTGAAATAATTGAAGATTTTCTTACATATTAATTTTATCGTTTAGGTGGTATTCAACAATATCACGATAAAGCTGGAAACAAATCTTTATACAGATGAAGTGTTTGATCAAATTGGCAGTATATCATTTGTAAATGCAGGCGAAGCACTGGCGGTATATTACTTTTCATTTTCTTTTAATTAACAGTAATTAATTTTGCTTCAAAATATACAACGATAAATTTTCACTTATAAAAGTATACTCTTTTATTCATAAAATTTAACAAATTTTGCGTCCAATTAGAAAAAAAAAGAGAAGTAGTAATTTTGTTCTTTTTTTTTGACAGATTGTATATAATATTCCACATCAGAGAATCCTTTAAATGTCAAACACTTCAACATCGATTTTAAAGCATATGGAATAATATTCTACGTAAATTCGACAAGTGCCGTTAGTTAGCTTATGTCGTAAAAAACAATGCATTTAAATTACATTCAAATTCTAATAGTTTTTGACAGATGTCTGATAAGTCAATCACCAAATAATTCCGCATTTTTTTTAATTTTTCAATTTGTGTTACATCAAAAAATTTTAGGTGTGAAAGCTTCAATATTGATAATTTTACAGGATAAGGATTTTCTCTGAAAGCGAAAATGATGTTCCGCCACCACTTGAGGCCTCTTATAATATCTAGCATTGCCAAATCCTTTTTAAAATGATTTAGTAAAAAAAAAACATTGCCCAAATTCTCATTGCATCCTACTTTTTCCTTTCTTTTTTGCCTTACCTACAAAGATTGTTGAATATTTATATATCACAGAAATATCAACTGTATAATTTTCTTGTTAGCTTACCCATACGATCGACCATGTCCATGTAAAATTTTTCACTGATACATGTGAATGGATGAAGCACGCAATCCGTTTGGCAATAAAATTTTGTCCAGGACATCCATCCCATCGGTGGTGTCCTAATAGGAAGAATTCCAAATGAGTTTGGAAAAACATTTAAATTTGATATCCAAAGAACTATTTTGAAAAGGAAAAAATTTCAGAACATCCAATTTCGTCGAAAGAGAAAATATTGAATAGAAAGAAACAAATGAAAAAAGAAATTGAAAAAACGGCAAACACGAATTAAGCACAGGAAGGAAGAGGAAGAAAAGAGTGCTTCTGACCCGACCTGACCTAACCTGACATATATATATTCCATCGTTGTTGTTGAGCAAAATAAACAAACCTTGCTAATCCATTTTCTAAAGTTTCAGCAAATCTTGTTGCTGTGATCAAACAAAAGAGAACAAAATAATGCATTATAATTCAGTTATACTCAGATTATAATTCTGTTATACTTAGATTATAATTCTGTCATACTATGCTTATAATTCAATTATGCTCAGATTATGATTCTGTTATACTCATATTCTAATTTTGTTTTATTCAGATTACAATTCAGTTACACTCAGATTATAATTCAGTCATACTCTGATTATAATTCAGTCATACTCAGATCATAATTCTACTATACTCAGGTTATAATTCTGTTATATTCAATTATACTCAGATTCTAATTTTGTTTTATTGAGATTATAATTCAGTTACACTCAGGTTATAAATCAGTCATAATCTGATTATAATTCAGGTATACTAAGATTATAATTCAGTAATATTCATACTCAGATTATAATTCTGTTATACTAAGATTATAATTCTGTCGTAGTCAGATTATAAATTTGTTATACTTAGATTATATTTCTGTTGTAGTCAGATTATAATTCTGTTATACCCAGATTATAATTCTGCTATACTCGGATTATAATTCTGTTAAACTCAGATTATAATTCTGTTATACTCAGATTATAATTCAGTTTTACTCAGATTATAATTCTGTTATACTCAGATTATAATTCTGTTATACTCAGATTATAATTCAGTTTTACACAGAATATAAATCAGTCATACTCGGATTATAATTCAGTTATACTCAGATTACAATTCAGTTATGCTCAGATTATGATTCTGTTATACTCAAACTATAATTCACTGATACTCAGATTATAAATTTGTTATACTCACATTATAATTCTATTATACTCAGATTATAATTCAGCTATACTCAGATTATAATTCAATTATGCTCAGATTATGATTCTGTTATACTCAGATTATAATTCCGTTATACTCAGATTATAATTCTGTTATACTCAGATTATAATTCTGTTATATTCAATTATACTCAGATTCTAATTTTGTTTTATTGAGATTATAATTCAGTTACACTCAGGTTATAAATCAGTCATAATCTGATTATAATTCAGGTATACTAAGATTATAATTCAGTAATATTCATACTCAGATTATAATTCTGTTATACTAAGATTATAATTCTGTCGTAGTCAGATTATAAATTTGTTATACTTAGATTATATTTCTGTTGTAGTCAGATTATAATTCTGTTATACCTAGATTATAATTCTGCTATACTCGGATTATAATTCTGTTAAACTCAGATTATAATTCTGTTATACTCAGATTATAATTCAGTTTTACTCAGATTATAATTCTGTTATGCTCAGATTATGATTCTGTTATACTGAGATTATAATTCCGTTATACTCAGATTATAATTCTGTTATACTCAGATTATAATTCAGTTACACTCAGGTTAGAATTCAGTCATGCTCTGATTATAATTCTGTTACACTCAGATTATAATTCTGTTATACTCAGCTTATAATTTTCTTATGCTCTGATTATAATTCAATTATGCTCAGATTATGATTCTGTCAAACTCAGATTCTAATTTTCTTTTATTCAGATTATAATTCAGTTACACTCAGATTATAATTCAGTCATACTCTGATTATAATTCAGTCATACTCAGATTATAGTTCAGTTATACTAAGATTACAATTCAGTTACACTCAGATTATAATTCTGTTATACTCAGATTATAATTCAGTTACACTCAGATTATAATTCAGTCATACTCTGATTATAATTCAGGTATACTAAGATTATAATTCTGTTATACTCAGATTATAATTCTGTTATATTCGGATTATAATTCTGTTAAACACAGATTATAAATCTTTTATACTCAGATTATAATTCTGTTATACTCAGATGATAATTCAGTCATACTCTGATTATAATTCAGTCATACTCAGATTATAGTTCAGTTATACTAAAATTACAATTCAGTTACACTCAGATTATAATTCTGTTATACTCAGATTACAATTCTGTTACACTCAGTTATACTCAGATTATAATTCTGTTATACTCAGATTATAATTCAGTTACACTCAGGTTATAATTCAGTCATACTCTGATTATAATTCTGTTACACTCAGATTATAATTCTGTTATACTCAGCTTATAATTTTCTTATGCTATGATTATAATTCAATTATGCTCAGATTATGATTCTGTTATACTCAGATTATAATTCCGTTATACTCAGATTATAATTCAGCTATACTCAGATTATAATTCAATTATGCTCAGATTATGATTCTGTCAAACTCAGATTCCAATTTTCTTTTATTCAGATTATAATTCAGTTACACTCAGATTATAATTCAGTCATACTCTGATTATAATTCAGTCATACTCAGATTATAGTTCAGTTATACTAAAATTACAATTCAGTTACACTCAGATTATAATTCAGTCATGCTCAGATTATAATTCTGTTATACTCAGATTACAATTCTGTTACACTCAGTTATACTCAGATTTTAATTCAGTTACACTCAGGTTATAATTCAGTCATACTCTGATTATAATTCTGTTACACTCAGATTATAATTCTGTTATACTCAGCTTATAATTTTCTTATGCTCTGATTATAATTCAATTATGCTCAGATTATGATTCTGTTATACTCAGATTATAATTCCGTTATACTCAGATTATAATTCTGTTATACTCAGATTATAATTCTGTTATATTCAATTATACTCAGATTCTAATTTTGTTTTATTGAGATTATAATTCAGTTACACTCAGGTTATAAATCAGTCATAATCTGATTATAATTCAGGTCTACTAAGATTATAATTCAGTAATATTCATACTCAGATTATAATTCTGTTATACTAAGATTATAATTCTGTCGTAGTCAGATTATAAATTTGTTATACTTAGATTATATTTCTGTTGTAGTCAGATTATAATTCTGTTATACCTAGATTATAATTCTGCTATACTCGGATTATAATTCTGTTAAACTCAGATTATAATTCCGTTATACTCAGATTATAATTCAGTTTTACTCAGATTATAATTCTGTTATACTCAGATTATAATTCTGTTATACTCAGATTATAATTCAGTTTTACACAGAATATAAATCAGTCATACTCGGATTATAATTCAGTTATACTCAGATTACAATTCAGTTATGCTCAGATTATGATTCTGTTATACTCAAACTATAATTCACTGATACTCAGATTATAAATTTGTTATACTCACATTATAATTCTATTATATTCAGATTATAATTCAGCTATACTCAGATTATAATTCAATTATGCTCAGATTATGATTCTGTCAAACTCAGATTCTAATTTTCTTTTATTCAGATTATAATTCAGTTACACTCAGATTATAATTCAGTCATACTCTGATTATAATTCAGTCATACTCAGATTATAGTTCAGTTATACTAAGATTACAATTCAGTTACACTCAGATTATAATTCTGTTATACTCAGATTATAATTCAGTTACACTCAGGTTATAATTCAGTCATACTCTGATTATAATTCAGGTATACTAAGATTATAATTCTGTTATACTCAGATTATAATTCTGTTATATTCGGATTATAATTCTGTTAAACTCAGATTATAATTCTTTTATGCTCAGATTATAATTCTGTTATACTCAGATGATAATTCTGTTACACTCAGATTATAATTCTATTATACTCATATTATAATTCTCTTATACTCAGATTATAATTCTGTTATACTCAGATTATAATTCTGTTATATTCGGATTATAATTCTGTTAAACACAGATTATAAATCTTTTATACTCAGATTATAATTCTGTTATACTCAGATGATAATTCAGTCATACTCTGATTATAATTCAGTCGTACTCAGATTATAGTTCAGTTATACAAAAATTACAATTCAGTTACACTCAGATTATAATTCAGTCATGCTCAGATTATAATTCTGTTATACTCAGATTACAATTCTGTTACACTCAGTTATACTCAGATTATAATTCTGTTATACTCAGATTATAATTCAGTTACACTCAGGTTATAATTCAGTCATACTCTGATTATAATTCTGTTACACTCAGATTATAATTCTGTTATACTCAGCTTATAATTTTCTTATGCTCTGATTATAATTTA